ATATTACCCTCATTATTTTTGGGCAGTTTTTGAAAAGCTACGTACAGGTAAAACACGTATTTATTTATTTTTCTTGTTTACGGAGAGGACGTTTTATTGTGAAGGGTCGCTACAGGATGTAGCATAACCGTTGGTGTTAGCCATGGTGTTAGCAGAACAGGTAGCTTAGTATCGGTACTGATTTTCGAGCTTCGCAGTAACGTAACGTTAGCATCCGTGATGGCAGGGAGAAATCACTTCTCCGAGTTCCTTTAATATGCTCCCTGTTGGGGGGATAAGGGTACCACCGGACCAGTCTCAAAATGACCACCGGCTTCAGCTCCGGTTCCTGCCGGTTCGCAGATTATTTTGTGATCTGCGGACTCGACACCGAAAGCGGGCTGGAACCCGACGAACTGTCCGGTAAGCACATTAGCCATTGGGGTAAATGTCGGGCTGATGCTGTAGCAAATAAGGAAGGAAAACAGGGGTGTTATACATTATGTCAGCGGTATTATTTAGCCTTTACTCTGTTTTAATGTGTCGGTCGTTCATTTATTCGTGTAACGTTTAAAATATGTTGTTAAGATTAATACACAGCGGACATAACGTCAGGCCTAGTTTATCTTCTCTCAGCCTGTTTGTCTGTACTGCTGGATGACAAGCGAGAGGATTACTGGCTTGTTGTGTCTCTTTAACGCTCTGGCATGAATTTTAATTCTAAGGTTGTCGATAAATCCCCACCTGATTTTCATATCCATATATACATCAAAATGATTTGATGTTGGTGCTGCGCAGTAATACATATCTAATGTCAGCAACATTTTCTTGCAGTTATTCCAGACTTTGGTGCTGGTTGATGGTGTGATATTGATGTCGATATAATGTTATTACAATTGAGGCTGTTGTCACAGTGGCTTCTAGCTGTCAGCGGGGCATTTAGATGGGATCGGGTATCAAGGTAGCAACACACATGGCCAGATTAACATATTCCCTAGGGTTTAAATGTACCATGCGACCCCCACCCCACCCTTCGACCCCTGACATCCTCAGCATCCACCAGAGATCCACATTGTGCATGCAGCCATCCTCCTCAAGTAACCTCCTTAGAGGGCACACCCTTCCCTTCACAAACAATTATAGAAATAGCTAAAACATCTAATAGGAGTACAATGGGCTGTGACACACCTGGGTCCTGTTTGATTCTGGAGGTTTGACCCTTTCTGTGATCATTTTACCTGCATGAGCATGATGCAAAGAAAAGAGAGAGCATCTGCCAATATATCTGCATGTGGACCTGTGGCCTGAGGGTCCCTGGGCATGAGCTGTGGGATATTACAACACTGCAACAGTGCTGTTTTTCTTTCATACTGCATTCTTGGTCAGCTGACTTTATGAATGTATATTTGTTCATAAATGATAATACATTTTAGCATCAACTAGTAGGGGTGGGCAGTAGATATATCATGAGATAATGTATTTTGTCTATTGCCTGTTTTTATTACTGGTAATACTGTGGTACTTATCCCTTTTGATATATCTGGGTTTATTAGGCCATTGTGGGTATGATCCTCACATCAAAGTGATACCCGTTCTTATCTTTCCAGGTGTTTATTTCACTTCATTACACAAAACACCCATTAAACCGGTTGATTTTCCAGAAGATTTACTATACCATGATATATATTGATATAAAATTACATACACTGTGATAGGGATTATATCCATATGAGCCACCCCTACCAGTCAGATATTACACATGATAAAATATCTTCTGTTTAATGATTGTGATGACTCAATTAACTTGAAATTTCTGATGGAAAGGCTACATGGACATTAGGGACTTAAGATCTGACAGTCAGCCTACACAGTTGGGAATACTAGTTCTTCCAAACTTTGTCATTGCTTCGTGTTCCCATCATGTTGGAAGACACATTTGGAGGCAACACATGGATTTACCATCTTGTGAGAAATTGTTAAGACACTGAATCCAAGATGCAACATACCAAGCTGCAGTAAAGTGACAAGCTAATCCCAAACATGAACAGAGTCACTCTGTGAAGCTGGTTGGGTAGCCATGACAACTGACAAAAGGCACGTGACGGGATGTGTTACCATAACTGCATATTTCATCTCAAAAGAGCAGGTCCTAACAAAGACATGCACATCCATTTTGTCTGTCTCCAAAACAACTTTGCCAAAAAAAAAATCTTGTTACTTTCCTTGTTGTCACATGAAAGAAAATTTGCATTTTATCTTGAATGTTCACACCTTTTACCAGTGTGATTGAAGGCTTTTGTGACTGAAATGTATTTATTTATCTCTTTCTGAGGTCATGCTGCTGATATAGCTCACCCTCAAGGTGCTTCCACCTTGGAAAAAATGATGTAATTATTATTACTCTTGAGTCTTTGTCTCCTTTGGGAGTCGTGGCAGAGCCAAGACATCAGTGGAGATGGGAGCTGTGTTGCCAAATAACAGTGTTTACACCTTTGTCAGAGGAGATTTGTGTCATTTTGGAGTTTATGTAAATGTCGGGCTGCTCCAACATTTCACATACCAAATAATGTAAGGGTTTCCCGCAGCAACACCCCAGCTGACTAATATCATCGGGGAACTCTTAAATGTCTAAAGGAGCAAACAGGTCGACTACATTAAAGGCGTCACATATTTTCAACTCAATTATATACTAGTCAGTGCATTTACATTCAAATGATATGTGTCTTAATTAAAAAGAATCACAAAATACTTGCTCATGTTTGCAGTCGAGATGCTTCAGTCAGGCAGACAATCCAAATGCAAAGCTGCTAACATGAACTAGCTTTAAGCCTGCTGTGAGTATCTGCGTTGAGGTGTAGCCTATAAGCTGTTGTTGAGTAGGTCACTGCGTCTGTACTCTATGGCTTCAGACAACAGTTCAACTAGTTCAGCCATTTTTAATGATTTATAGTCTCGTCAGGAAAAAAAAGGTTTCTGTATGCCAGCTGTCCAAAACCCCGTGATTCATAGAGAAGAGTCTATTTCTTCATTTTCTGTGTGATTTATCGTGACTCAGCAGTCAGTGAGAGGCCTGCAGAGTTGTTGTTGTTTCAAAAAGAAAGTTTTTTCCTCTTTAAAGCAATGACTTAACCAAAAATCCCTTTAGTTTTCAAAGTCTCTGTACTTCCTATTTTTTTACTTCCTTTAATTTAAGTTCCTGTTTACAAGTTGAGTTAAGATTTACTTGAAATGCACAAAATTAAAAGTTAAGAAACATGCACAATTTTGTTTTAAACTTGGAAAAGAAATGGGCAGAGCACAGGTAGATGTAAGTGACCAGACTAAGGCCATATCAAGAACACTAAGGCTTTTCGAAGACATTAAAGAGAGTGAAGACATACAGTGCCCTCCAAAAGTATTGGAACAGTGAGCCCAATTCGTTTACTTTTGTTGTAGACTGAAAACATTTGGGTTTGACATCAAAAGATGAATATGAGACAAGAGATCAACATTTCAGCTTTTATTTCCAGGTATTTACATCTGGATCTGATACACAACTTAGAAGATAACATTATTTGTAATGGAACACAAAATTTTTAGGTGAGCAAAAGTATTGGAACATATAAACTTAAAATAGATTAAAGTGAATGAGACTTAATATTTAGTTGCAAATCCTTTGCTTTCAATAACTGCATCAAGCCTGTGACCCATTGACACCAAACTTTTGCATTCTTCTTTTGTGATGCTTTTCCAGGCTTTCACCGCAGTCTCTTTCAGTTGTTGTTTGTTTTGGGGGGTAACTCCCTTCAGTCTCTTCAGCAGGTAAAATGCATGCTCTATTGGGTTTAAGTCCGGAGACTGACTTGGCCAGTCTAAAACCTTCCACTTCTTGCCCCTGATGAACTCCTTTGTTGTTTTGGCAGTGTGTTTTGGGTCGTTATCTTGCTGCATGATGAAGGATCTCCCAATCAGTTTGGTTGCATCTTTCTTTAAATTAGCAGACAAAATGTTTCTGTAGACTTCTGAGTTCATTTTGCTGCTGCCATCATGTGTTACATCATCAATGAAGATGAAAGAGCCCGTCCCAGAAGAAGCCATGCAAGCCCAAGCCATGACATTCCCTCCACCGTGTTTCACAGATGAGCTTGTATGTTTGGGATCATGAGCAGATCCTTTCTTTCTCCAAACTTTCGCCTTTCCATCACTTTGGAAAAAGTTAATCTTTGTCTCATCAGTCCATAAAACTTTTTCCCAGAATTTTTGAGGCTCATCTCTGTCACCTTTTGGCAAATTCCAGCCTGGCCTTCCTATTCTTCTTGCTAATGAGTGGTTTGCATCTTCTGGTGTAGCTTCTGTACTTTTGTTCATGAAGTCTTCTGCGAACAGTAGATTGTGATACCTTCACTCCTGCCCTCTGGAGGTTGTTGCTGATGTCACTAACAGTTGTTTTAGGGTCTTTCTTTACAGCTCTCACAATGTTTCTGTCATCAACTGCTGATGTTTTCCTTGGACTACCTGTTCGACGTCTGTTGCTTAGTACACCAGTGGTTTCTTTCTTCTTCAGGACATTCCAAATGGTTGTACTGGCTATGGCCAATGTTTGTGCAATGGCTCTGATTGATTGTCCATCTTCTCTCAGATTCACAATTGCTTCTTCTTCATCCATAGACAGCTCTCTGGTTTTCATGTTGGTTCCACCTCTAAATGCAGTCTGCACAGGCAAAACCTATCGTACCCAATCTGAAACTGAGCTCAGACATTCAGTGCTATTTATTGTTTGAATAATCAATGTAATTGGGAGACACCTGGGCAACAAAACACACCTGTCAGTCACATGTTCCAATACTTTTGCTCTCATGAAAAATGGGTGGGTTCAAACAAAAGGTGCTATCTTCTAAGTTGTGTATCAGATCCAGATGTAAATACCTGGAAATGAAAGCTGAAATGTTGATCTCTTGTCCCATATTCATCTTTTGATGTCAAACCCAAATATTTTCAGTCTACAACAAAAATAAAGGAATTGGCCTCACTGTTCCAATACTTTTGGAGGGCACTGTATGTCAACCTTGCGTCAGAGAAAACACTGTTGTATGATTATTGTTCTTCAAAATGTGGTTTGGTGCTTTCAAGTAGCAACAAAATGAAGAACGTGACTTCTTGTTTTGTGTCATCTGATATGACAGCTGATTAAATTGTCAGCTGTGTGAAAACCACATGTATTTTTGAAATGCGTAAAGACAAATAAATATAGACCTTTTTTTTCTAAAATTTTTATGTAGCTAATGTCCCATTGATAGGCTTCCCCTCTCGCCTTTAAAAATATCTGGGTTACAGTAGCTGTATTATTATGTCCTTAAATTACCTTTCCAATTTTCAAATGGCTGTAAAAACATGTTTTTTGTTTTTGTCATCTGCCATTGAGTGTGTGTTGTCAGGGTTTTTTG